TATATATATATACATACATACATACATACATACATACATACATACATACATTGCATGTGTAGTACTTATTAAATAAACAAAAATGACAAATCAGTAATAAATGTAAGCTATTATATGCTTTAATTTCAATTTCTAATAATCATATTTTGATGTCATATAATAATGTCCGTAAGGTGTACCATATGTCTGAAATGTTCTATTGAATATTCATAAATTTCTTGTTTTATTTCCTTCTACTTTGAATATATTGCACTTGTAAAAGTATAGAATTTAAATAAAAGTTAATAAATCTCAATGTGTACTTAATATTTCATCATGTTACATTACTATTCTACTATCTGATATTTTGTACATTTGTCTACATAAAATAATAAATATAAAATACATATTATATTTCATATTATAGTATTTGTTTCATAGAGAGAATTTTCATTGTGAGCATTTACAAATAAAGAATCGCTTAATAAGAAGGTATCAGCGTATTGTTTGAATATAACTTTGTTTTTTGGGTGGGTAGTTTCAGTCCAACGGATCACAAACTGGCAACATGCAGTGATGATGGAACTGTCAGAATTTGGGACTTTCTTCGATGTCATGAAGAACGAATTCTTAGGGGTAGATATTACATTACTTTCTTTTTTCAGAATTCATTGATATATTATTAAACAAAAATTTTTTTAATATTAATTTTGTTCATTGATTATATTTTTAACAGATAATTAATATATTAGAATTAAAATAAACCTTATTGTATTCGATATTCACAAAATTACTGTTTAGGTCATGGAGCTGATGTGAAGTGTGTGCATTGGCATCCACAAAAAAGTCTAGTCATCTCTGGAAGTAAAGATAATCAGCAACCAGTTAAATTATGGGACCCAAAGACTGGCCAGTCTCTTGCAACTTTGCATGCCCATAAATCGACGGTTATGGACGTTAAATGGAATGAAAATGGAAATTGGTTGGTAACTGCGTCACGGGACCACTTGCTCAAGTTGTTTGATCTTCGAAATCTAAGCCAAGAAGTTCAAACATTTCGTGGTCACAAGAAAGAAGCTTCTAGTGTCGCATGGCACCCAAGTCATGAGGGTCTATTTTGTAGCGGCGGTAGCGATGGAGCTATTTTATTCTGGCATGTTGGGTACATTTCTCGATTCTTTTCTTTCATTTTCTAATATTAATTTTTACAGCTTATTTATACTATGATTGTTTTTTAGGGCTGATAAGGAAGTAGGTGCGATAGAACAAGCTCATGACAGTATAGTCTGGACGTTAGCTTGGCATCCTTTAGGACATATTCTATGTTCCGGTAGCAACGATCATACTTCGAAGTTTTGGACACGAAATAGGCCTGGTGATTTAATGAGGGACAAGTATAATCTCAATACTCTACCTGCAGGATCAGCGGGTGTTGATGATCATGAAATTGGTATACAATATATTATACGAATAATAGAAAGAATATTGTTAATAGAAGTGAAGAAAATAAATTTTTTACTATTACTATGGTCATCTCATAGCTGACGAAGCAGCTGTAATACCTGGTATGGGACCAGAAGACAGAATTAACGCCGATGGTGAACCAGAAGATAAAAGCGGTGGCATTCCAGGTTTGGATTTAGATCATGCAGTTGATGAAGGGAAGAAATTTGCTAACAAGAAAGTTCCATATAGTAAACCGATCCCGCGTAATTTCCAAGCTCAATGGAATGAAATGGAGGCAGAGGATATGGAGCAAGTAGAAGCTTTAAATGCATTCGTGAATCAGTTAATCGAAACTACACCAGGAGCAGTGCCTCTAAATGAAGTAACGCCGAACGGCATTATATTATATGGAAAAATGATTCCTGTTGAACGTAAGTACTATTTAATATATAAACATTCAATGTTATAATTTTAAATAAAGCTTTAAGACTGTTAAATGTTGTTAATATTGCAGCTGGTTCAAAGTTAGCAGAAGCAATCAGTAAAGGAAACGATGCCATAAATAAATTAGTATTCTCTGGAGAAATAGAGGAGCTACGAGATGTCGTAGGTCCACCGGACAACATGGACGATTCCGAAGAATATTTGCAAGACGATGGCGAAATAGATTATTCCAAAGTTCCCGATATTGAACTTCCTCCACCTTTACCCAGTTCTAAGTTTGCACAGAATCCCGAATTGTTAAAAGCCTTAAATCGTGGCGGAAAACGAAAGTTCGATCAACTGATCGGTTGGAGTGACGGTGGAGCCAGTGATCGAACGTCAAAGATTCATCAACCAGTTTTTGGCGGAGTGATGACAGAAGATTCACAATCCAGTGATACCGATTTACGGTATACTGGAGCAAAGTCAAATCAGCACTCTAACGAAACCAACTCTTTCCACAGTGGACAGGATGAGGATCTTAGGAAGCTTCCACATGGTGAAAGCGTCAGAAATGCGAGTCGCGACGAAGATTTACGATTTAATATATCCAGCGGACCTGGAAGGCCTAGTTCGCGTTCTGATTATGGAGTAACCGATGTAAGGAGTAACTACGCGGATAAAGACTTTAGGGGCTCGCATGGATTCTCCTTAAAGAAATCTTTGGACAACGACATTTATGACGACAGAGATCGAGATAGTGGTTCACGGTGGGACGATGACAAAACAATGAATGATGGTTCCAGGAAAGGAGACAGTGCTTTTTCAGGCAATTTTGATAAACGCGATAACATGCCCATAGGTATAGGGTCCGGTATGAGTAACAGTATGCCACATTTGGGCAACAGCATATCTCACATGTCGAGTCATCACAATATGCAAAATATCAATCCTAATATGACTCCCCCGATTCCAAGTTTAGTGCCACATCCAAATATGTCCCAGCATCCTATGCAGAATAAACCGTTACATCCTGGTATGCAAGGAATTGACGGTCCTATGCACATGATGCATCATCCTAATATGCATCCCGGTTTTGGTCCTAATGGACCGCCACCTGGAAACTTTGGTCCTAATTTCAGACCACCAAATGGTAATTTCGGACCCAATCAACATTTTAGGCCGAGCCCGTTACCCCCATTTGGACCAAACCAAGGACCATTTGGTAACAACTTTCAAGGTTTGCCAAATTTCCGTGGACCAAATTCTGGCCCTCCGAATTTCGATCGGCCAGGATTCGGTCCTGGTTTTCGAGGTCAGAATCCAGGACAAAATCCACCAAATAATTTTAATTCGAATTTTGGTAATTTTGGAAGTAAACTCGGACCTAATCGTGGCATGAACCGTGGTCCAAATGACAATAACATGGGAAGAAGTGGGTATAGTAATCGTGGTAGGGGACGCGACGGGGATCAACCACGAGGCATCCGAGGAAGAGATAATTATTGAACAATAATTATTCGGAACGAAAATGTCTGTATGTTATGTGTACGTTGACATATTACCATTCGTTCTGCAGGAATCATCCAGTTGTTCCGTGCTACATTGTACAGTTGTCGATAACGAATTCTACGCATAGAACGGTGGTATTCTGTAAAAGCATTGCAGTGTAAAATAACGACCCATATCAGACATGTTGCGAGCCATTTTATACTTTGCGTTAAAAAGAGAACTCGAAGTGGGCGTTAGTACAGCATGCTTGGATGAAAGTATATTTTCTTTTTCTGAAGGAACTTTATTTGGAGAGAACTATCCTTCTCCAAAGAAAGCGACTGATTATCCATATTCTAGATTGCTAGATTTCTAAATAATACAAAAGATGAATTCGTGTCGGAAGCAAGTGCGACCTTTTCTCCTCTACATGTAATACCTGCACGTAGGGTGTTCAAATGGTGAATCATATGAAGTCGCAGAAATTGTAATATACAAAATATAACCAATGACACACCGATATTATTCCGATTAAAAAAAGCATAAAAAAAGAAAAAAACAACTGTTCACAAGCTGCCTTGCGAAAGAAATTTTCTTGTTCCAATTTCGAGAATTGATGAGTGCGCGAGAATAGGGTAGAAAAGCATGTGGAGCATGTTGAACGTTTCGTAATTGTTGCTGGTCGTCGAGAAACTGTGAACCAGAACAGTTTACCTATCAATTATTAATAAAAATGAAGTAAGATGCAGAATTATTCGATTAAAGCTCTGTCCCAGATTTAATTTATAGATATTAGGCATAGGTTTATCTTAAATAACTATATACATATATACATATATATATATATATATAAATACATACATAGTTCAAATGTATGATGCATAAATATATATATTTTAATTCTATCAGCAATATTTTATCGTACATTAAATTATATTTGAAACTACTTTTTTAAATGCATGATTCTTATAATTATAGTTTAATTGTACAATATATATTGCACTTATTTTTTGACATTTCGTATACACCATCAAGTTACTTCCGACGTTTCACGGTTGTTTTGATAACGATTAACCTCGTGTTATGTTTTCTTGACGCAACATAAGATTTAATACAATGGGTAGAAAAGGAAAAGTTGGAAGTGGTAATTTAGGAAAAGCTTTGATTAGAGATCGTTTCGGTTCATCAAGAAATAAAAAACATGTTGATTCGTCTATGGTAAGGTAATACGTTTATTTATAACCTGTTTATTTTCATACATCTGGAAAAGAATTGAAGAGCGGAAAATTGTTAATATTTCGAAACTGTATCTTTAATTAGATTCACACCACTGAATTAAACGATGGTTATGATTGGGGACGTCTTAATTTGCAATCTGTTACGGAAGAAAATTCTTTTGAGGAATTTCTTTCTACCGCGGAGTTAGCAGGAACGGAGTTTCATGCAGAGAAATTAAATATTAAATTTGTTAATCCGAAAAGTGGAATTGGATTACTTTCAAAAGATGAAAAAGAAAAGGTGTTGAAAACGCAAGAAAAGAATAAAGCACTTTTAAAGATACCAAGGAGGCCAAAATGGGACAGTTCTACTACAGCTCACGAATTACAAAGCAAAGAAAGAGAAGAATTTTTGGAATGGAGACGTTCTCTATCTGTGTTACAAGAAATGGAAGGACTGATGTTGACTCCTTATGAAAAGAATCTAGAATTTTGGAGACAACTATGGAGAGTAGTGGAACGCAGTGATGTTATTGTGCAAATAGTGGATGCTAGAAATCCATTACTATTCCGCTGCGAGGATTTGGAGGCATATGTTAAAGAACTAGATCCTAGAAAGATGAACATGATATTAGTTAATAAGGCTGATTTTTTAACAGAACAACAGAGACAAGCATGGGCAAAATATTTTACAGATATTAATTTAAGAGTTGCATTCTTTTCTGCTACATTGGCAGCTGAAAAACAAAAAATAAAAGATATAATAAAGGAAGAAGTCTCTGAAAATGAACAAAATAGTGAAGTAGATGGTGATGAAAAAGATGAAAACTATGATAGTGGAACATCATTATATAATTCAGCATTTGCTTCAGAAAGTGAATATGAAATTGTAGATGATAATAGTAGTAGCACCAAAATTAGAAATGAAGAAGAAGTAGATTCTAAGTGTAAGAAATATAATGAAGAATATAATGAAGAGAAAATAGATGAGAAAATGATAGAAGATAATACAAAGCTGGAAAATTCACCAGAATTGTTAAGTAGAGATCAATTAGTATCATTTTTTAAAGCAATTTATAAAGATGAAACATATACAAAAGGAATTACAACAATTGGTTTAGTAGGATATCCAAATGTTGGAAAAAGTTCTACAATAAATGCCTTGTTAATGGATAAAAAGGTATCAGTATCTGCAACACCAGGTAAAACAAAGCACTTTCAAACATTGTTCATGGATAAGGATTTGCTTCTTTGTGATTGTCCTGGATTAGTAATGCCCAGTTTCGTCTGTACAAAATCAGAAATGATTATAAATGGTATACTGCCAATTGATCAAATGAGAGATCATGTACCTCCAATTACATTATTAGGTACTTTAATACCAAGGCATGTTATAGAGGATCTTTATGGAATCATGATACCCACACCTTTGGAAGGAGAAGATCCTAATCGTCCTCCAACTGCAGAAGAAATTTTAAATGCTTATGGATGTATGTGTAATTATCTATTGCAAGAACACATGGTAATTCCATGTTTTAATTTATGATATTTTCTTTTATTATAGATAGTAGAGGTTTCATGACACAAAATGGGCAACCAGATAATCCACGTTCAGCGCGTTATCTTTTAAAAGATTTCGTAAATGGTAGATTGTTGTATTGTGTTGCACCACCAATAGTAGAACAAGAAAGGTTTCATATATTCGCTCCACGAAGGAAAATAAATCCCGCAAATAAGCATTTGCCTCCTAGAACAGTGCGTGTGAATAGTAGAAATAAAACAACGTCTGAAGATGTAGATAAAGTATTTTTTCAAAATAATATTTCGAATGTGCACGTAAAAGGAGTCATTGGAAAAATGCATGGTTTATTTCATTCTAGATCTAAGTATGTAACATTATTGTATATTTATTATTTGATAAAGTCATTCTTGTATAATTATTGACAATAATTGTTCATATATAATAATAAGTAATAATGGAGCGTGTATACGAATTTCGTTTTGAGAATAGTTTGGTAATTATTGTAATCTTTTTTCAGCGATATAGGATCGATGATTGGTTCCACACAAGATTTGTTGCTTGAAGAGAAACCGTGGAAAAAGATTAACAAACATTCGAATAAAAAGAAACGTGAGAAAACAAGAAGATTGTACGCCCATCTTGATCAACATTGATTTAATGGATATTTATATTGTATTGTGAGAATTGAAGGCCTTTTCGCTATATAACAGCGGATCGTATTTTGTAATATACAAGTCTCTGAATTTATAAACGCATCAGTGACTCATATCGATTCTACGTACCACAAATACATTCTAACAATAAAATACATATACATATAAGAATAGTTCATTGTTGTACTTATATGCATATATATTATAAAATTAAAATATTTCATAATTTATATTCTTTGTTTTTTAATCTTTTCTAATTCCTCTGATACTAGTATTTTGGGATCACTGAACGAATTCAGTAATCCTGTTTTTGTATATCTCGCCATGAATTATAGATATAATATGAACATAACAGATCTTTGAAACAATTTCCGTGAAAAGCAGTAATTCATTAAACAGGAAGCGCAGATCGAATTCCTACTTGCGAAAACGGAATTCATTCCACATAATCTGCCTTGCAGAATGTGGTGGTACATTTATAGTATATAATTTAGTCTGCTTTTATAAGTTAAGTCGTTGATGAACACCAAGTTCTTAATACAGGCTTTTCAATAAAAAAGTACTGTGTGTAAGATCGTTCTTGCAAATTTTGATTCAAATTCGTGAAGTAGTTCGTCTATATCGTTATCTAAGTCTTCGCTATTGGCCAGCTGTAAAAACATTTCTTAGTTAGCAAAAAATTGCAGAAATATATAAATATATATAAATGTATAAATTTATATGAAGTCTGAAATTACCACAGTGACTAATTCACAAATGAGGAATGATCCAACCGTAGCTTCTTCATGATTATCCTGAATATCAATATTAATCAAGTGTACTGGTTGATTATCTTCTTGAGTTCTAGATTCCATGCATTCAATTACTTGGTCATATACACGCTCCTCGCAAGTGATTAAAATATCAAATTTGTCCTTTGATAACTGAAATCGTTCTGGCTTGGGTTTTATTCTACGGTTCCTATCTAACATATGCAATAAACCATTTTGCGTATAGCTAATGTTATGGTTAAGGAAATTTTCTAGTTTTGATTATTTTATAAATTTTATTGTGATCCTTAAGAAGATAATAATGCAAAGGAATAAAAATTAAAAAAATATATATCTTGTCTTGTGCTAGCAGGTTTCTTGTTCATATTCTGTAAAAAGAAGAAAAATATTAATTTACTTATTTAGTAGGTAGGATACTATTGCTTGTCTTTTGATAAAAGATCATTGTAGATTTCATCATACGATGTTCCAAAATCATATATATTTGGACGATCAGGTGCATTACCAGGAAGTTTGACTTTATCACCAGTTCCAAACGACTTTACATTAAATCCCTTTTTACTGAAAAAAAAAGCAGGAATTGAATTTGTTCAATATTTTTATCGGATATAACCAGACAGTTCATAATTTGCAACTAAAATCAATTACCTCAAGAACGCATGAGCTTCCATGCTCCTATTCATATTGCTAGAACATATTACTGCTACGCTGATAGAGTTTGGCGCTGGCATTGTTTAGAACAATTTAGCGAGTTAAAAAAAAAAATCACGATATAAAAAAGCTGTCACTTAACCTTAAGAATTGTTACGCTGCCTGTCACATCCGGTACATCTGTTAACGCTATATAAAATCTAGAATAGAACGCGTTGTTCCTTAAAATGTTGGGGTATAAAAGGGATTCAGATTGATAATCGCGAAAAAGTTTGTAATTTATATGACTAAAATTATTATTGCGCGTTCTCTACTTATCGCCTTTTCATAGTAAAATTTGTAATGAAAGTCCTCTACACGTTCACGTTTGGTAGTTCATCGTTGAACAGTGACATCTGCGCTTGTACGAGAAGCTTAACCGTTGTGAGAATCGACAGTCAGTAACGCAACATACGGTGCGTCGGTGCAGTTTGTGGTAAATGTTGAATTTTTATCGACCAATGCTCAATGACGTCATAAATAAGCTCTGAACCCGCCAATTTGATGTGCTTCGAGAAAGTCTGGGCGAATTAAAGGTAAAATTGAACACAAAATGTTAAGGTTTTACGATATTTAAAAGTCCCTCGTATAAGTCGTATATGTTGTACTTTTTTTGTGGCTTCTAACCTAGTTTATCAATGTATACTGTAAAGTATTCAGTAAATGGTGACATTCAAATTAGTTGACCGAGGTATTTACATATTCATTCAGTTCGAACACATAATGATAAAAAAAAATGTGCAGGAAATTGAAAACATAAACTTGAGATATTGAGGTATACGAGAGGACATGAGTATCGTGTTATGATCAGGTTTAATATTTTTCTTTTAAAGTAGGCGAAACGTGAGGCGTTACTTGTAAGCAGCAGTCTGTCGAGAAGGAAGTGTGTGTGTATGTGTGAGGACGAAGTGAATCTTTTTGGACATTTTTGACCACGGAACCTGACAGAGCAGTTTCAAGACAGCAATGCGGTGAGTCAAACATCAATGAATACAACAATAATTAATCAGGAAGATATCATCGTGTGATATAAAAATATGGTATAATTTTATACATATACATGCAACACATGCTTATTCGGTTCATTTCGCTTAATGCGCGCGCAACTTTTCCGTTTCAATATTAGTTTCTATATCGAATTATATTGATGTTATTATTCTCAAGACGTATGCATGTCTTATTGTACACGGAAACAAGGAATCGTACGTATTAAAATTAATCGTAATCACGCCTGGTAGAGTAAGCAAATTAATATGAGTGAGGGAATGTCAAATTCTGATAGTCGCCAAACAGTTCTTTTGCGAATGTAATAATATTGCGCCGTTTACGGTTGTATCTGTAACTACTGTTTCAACATATTTTCTATTGCGCATTTTAAGCATTTATTAGTTATTTTATTTTTCAAACCTCAGCTATTCCATTAATATAAATAGATAATGGAAAGATTAAAAATCACAAGAAAAGACCATCGAATGAATTCACTGTCGTTAAATTACACAATGCTCCACGACCACAGATCTGTTACAAAATCGCAAAATAACAAGCGGCACCGGTAATGAAAATTGAGGGTTTTGGGTTGGAATTAAGATGGAGTTCGTGCTTCAATTAGAAGACTTTACTTTTGCAATCGTCCAAATCTTTTCAAATTTTCAAAAATTCGAAATTTTGAAAAATTGGAAATTAAAAATTTTGAAATATCGGAAATTCGAAATTTTGGAAAATTAAGAAATTCGAAAAATCGAGAATTGAAAAATTCGAAGAATCGAGAATTGGAAAATTCGGAAAATCAAATATTTCAATATTCAATAATTGGAATATTTAAATCAAATATTTGCAAAATTGAATTTCGGACATTTAAGTTCCGGAACGGCTTCTTTTCCATCTCGAACGTTGAAATTACCATGTTTTAACCTATTCGATGATAACTTGATTGAGAAATTGTCCTCTGAAAAGCGTCAATTGTTGCGGCACAGAAACGATCTTCAATCTACATCCGGTCTTTAAATTCGTTTCTTCACTGGTTGTCCATTCCGTTGATTGCTGCAACTCTTTTCGTCGTTCTCGTCGTTGGGCAAACTGATCGACGATTGACGAAACCAATTTAGATCCGCGACTCGTCTTTTTGTATTGTTCTCAATGGATCTTGTTACACGCATACTTCGTGTCTTTACCATGAAAGGGAATGTGATTCGAGATCGTTCGAGGAGTGACTCGAATACAACGGATTTCGAAAATCATTTCTTTACATTATTATTACCAAACCCGTGAAAATGGTAAATTTCAACATACTATCTTCTTCCTAATTATCAAAAACATGCACACACATTTAGCGAAATTAACGTCGACTTTTATCAAGGCAGAAACATTTCTTCCTTTATTCCTCTATTTATTATTTATTATTATTATCTTTATATTATCTTCATGTACAGGGTGTCTCACAAATCCCTGTACAAATTTATTCCCAATATCTGCAACATAATTTTGATAAAACTTCAACATTCGAAGTTATAGGTATAACATAATGCAATATATATATATTACGTTCTCCGATTATAGTACACAAGGGTGAGAGAGTTGTAGAAGACATTGAACCCGAATCTTGACCTTTGTCTTCTTATTTTTCTGTTCCAGGTAATTCATCATCCTAGTGATGTTATTGAGTTTTAAATGTCATTTTCAAATGTGCGACTTTTATGTCTTCCATGATGAATTTCCTCTTCCACGATGAATGGCGTTGGCATTAAGAGTTCTAAGATACTTCGTTAAAACTTATACCAATACCTCTTTGTCTTCGACGGAAGTAAAAACGTCATTAATGGATGTCAGTTGAGGTACAAGGTGTCCACGTATATACTAGAAATTTTATAAAGACGCCAGTCATGAATTTAAATTAAAAGAACTTCTCTGTCTGAACAAAGGAGTCTCGTGACGCGTGTTAAACGGGTTTCAGCGTCTTCAAACGGACGTCTTTTTAGTTACTAGAATTCTAAAAGGGTACAAATTTCCTTCCTTCGAATTCGTGCTATAGGAAGAAACTTATTTCTTGGGCGTTAAATAGGTAAAGAGTCTTTTATCCATTTTTTCCAATTACACGTGTTCCTATTATATACACTGGGTGACAGAAATGACCATATCTTCCTCAATCTTACGATTACATACGATCGCCATTCCTTTTATCACACGAGTGTCACACGTGATTGAATTTAATCGAAAATAGATTAGGAAATATTCGGATTTGTACACGTGCTAAACTTTTATCGCGTGACAAATTTTTATCAAAGACAGATTTGCAAATATTTGAGTCACCACGCGTGAAAAATTTTTATCGTAACTTTGAGGTTATTAATTTTTGTACTAGTCGCATTAATTACATCGATTTATTACACTGGAATTATCCTAGAACAAAATTCACGTTGATATACGACTTAGTTATCGATAAGAATTTTACTTATTTATTTGTTTAAACTGGATGGATCCATTAGTTTATCAAAAATCAAATTAAAACATATCCCGTGTCACAGTAGTTTTATCAACATCTCAAAATTTATTCATGGAATCCGTGAGGAAATCCAACACATTGGAAGCATTGCCCTGAAATAGGCCATCCGTAACTCGCTATACATCGCCATGTTTGAAATCATCGTGATAAACTAAAGTGGAATTAACGAGGAATAAAAAGTCCGGGCTAACTGTTCCCCGTTAATGTCCATTTTTAAACGCAAGGTTGACGTAGAAGTAAGAAATTCGTGGTCGAAGGTTGCGTATATGACATAAGAGTGATGTAACCAGAAGAGAGCGAGTCGGCTTGAGGAGTGGAATTTTAAGTTTGCTCAAGCGAAGTACAAACAATCGCACATCTAACCAGCCCTATCTCGCGTGTCTCTGCTTGGAAACGGCAGGAATCCGCTTCCTCCTCGCGCTTAACGTTTCGAACCGTGTCGTCCAGTTTTCAACCGCTCCTAGTTGCATAGTTCTGTTCCGATCCGCTTCGACTCGCTTCATCCCATAGCAATCAGCTCCAGTTCACATGGTTCCGCTCCGACCAGCTGCAATCCGCGCAGCCTCACCTCAGTTGGCTCTAACCTGCATGGTACCGTTCCAATCCGCTCCGATTCACCCTGATCGATGTCAACCGGCGTGGTTCCACTGCAACCAGTTTTAATCGGGCTTGTTTCGCTATAGTCTTTTGCAGTTCGGCTTGTTTTGCTCTGACCATGCTTAATTCGTGCTGTTTTACTTTAGTATTACGCGGTTCGAGTCGTGTGGCTGTTATCCTGTCCAGTTTACGTCGTTTCGCTGTAATCGTGTCCAATTTATGTTCTCCCGATCATGCGTAGTTGGTTCCATCACTATGATCGTGTCTATGTTACGTTGTTACAGTTCTGTCCAGTTCACATTGTTTCGTTCTACCGATGCCCAGTCCCTGTTATTCCTTTTAGCCACGTTTAACGCGTTGTTTTGCTTCAGTTATGATCTGTTCATGTGGTTTCGCGCCAGTCATGTATAATTTATATTCTTTTGTTCCAGTCATGCTCAGCTCATGTTGTACAATCATGACCAGTTTATAATGTTTCGCCTCAATCATGTCCAGTTCGCGTTGTTTTCTTCCAATATTATCTAGCTGCAATATTACGTGTCCAATTCACGTTGTTTTGTTTCAGTTATGTTCAGTCTAAATGGTTTTGACACAACCGTGTTTAATTTATGCCGTTTAGTTCCAATCATATGTTGTTTCACGCCAATGATGTCTACTTCGCTAGTTCCACTTGCTTGTACTCGTCTTCGACTCGCAGTGTTTCGCACTAATCCTCTGCAAGTTGGTGTTTCTCTTCAATCTACATCATTCTACCCGAATCCTATTGTTCTCTAATCCTCATTCAGCTTCCAGCGTTTCTTCCTATACCGGTCCACGCCTCATTATTCTACTTCAACTTGCGTTCCTCTGCTTCATCGTTGCATTCTAACCATCCTTGCCTCGTTTCAGGCCTTCTCCTTCGAAATATCTTACTATATCCTACTGCACTCTACGGTAACAAGCCTCTTCATCATCTTCAACCATCTCCAATTCTTCTGCGGCATCTAACTTATTGTTAGCTCTGTTAGGCCTAACCGCCTGAGCCTTCACTGGCTCCCTCGGGGCCATACGAATTATCATCCCTTGCAGTTCACCTTGCTCGAACTCTTTCCAATTCTCCCATCGTACACCGGAGGTCTACTGTAATCCGCTGATAAATAAAATGCAGGCTTCGTCGCGCGTTATCATCGGATCGTCGAAAGGAAACGGCGTCACCTCGTTCCCGTGCATTATTACCTCACGCACGTTGTCCAGCAACGATTCCATCGCTCGGTTATCGCGGATCCTTGTAAATTATTCTGCGTGTGTACTCGAAGACGGATGTCCTTTAACTTATGGATATTGATGAGGGACGTTCCACCAGCGTGAGCCATCTCGTTGACGTTTGACGCATGCCGTCTGCATAAAATGGCCGGCGGGACGTCATCCGCGCGATGCAGGCACCCGTTAAATTATAATCTAAATTATGGGCCAGCTCGCCGGCCGAATATCAATTGTTTGACCAGCCTCGTGCCTCTCCTTTCATTTTTCTTCCATTTTTTATTCTTCTTCCTTCTTTTTCTCTGGTTTCTTTAAATCGTATATTTAAGCATGAAAAATTGGCATTTGCGAAACGACTGTCACGCGACACGAGCGTGTCACGTTGCAGAAAAATCCTTCACACGATTTCGAGCTACTCGAATTAATGACCGTTGGCAATTAGGCTTTTTCGAATGGCCAGTTGCCAACGTTTCGGAGGCACTCACCTTGAACAGAACGATGATTCTGGTTATTATGATGAGAGAAAATTCGTGATGTTTGTAGGGAATTATATAAGATAATGGAAAAATTATGATATTGGTTGGAAAGAGAAAGGATATCTTGTGGAATTTGGGTACATACAAGTACCACTTACTAGCGACTTTAATGAAAATGAGTAATTCAAATCGCTTAACGTACTCTTCTATAAGAAAATTCGGGAAAATTAATATATCCATCTGTCTCATAAACTAGCTACAGTATAACTGATTATGCAAAGGTAGCATAATCAATTATCTTTTAATTGAAGCATTAAAAATTAAATGTTTATCTCCTATCCTCTACGTTTGCCTAATATTTAATTAGGAGAATTCGTAAGTTTAGCAAAAGGTAATTTTTGCAAAATAAATTCGGGATTACACACGGTTATCGGTTATGCTCGTTAGGATAACGCAAGGGGTTAATTTGGGTATAAGATCGGACGAAGAAAATCGGGATGGAAGACGACGACTGCAACTCGAAGACGAAGTCTATCGAATCAGTTCTCAGAGTATGACTCGCTTCAATGTCGGGAATCGAGCTTGGCTGATCTTCGGCGCTCGCATACCGATCGAGGACAAATCGTGAGACGAATCGAAGAGCTCGTTTAATGACATTTACTTGTCGGTTTCACGCTTTCACGGTATACGTACTGGCATCCTCGATCGATCGGCGAACGCGCGCGTTTCCTGTCGCGGAAACCCGCGAAAACCTCGCCGTCCGCATCCGTGACTTCCGCCATTTTCATCGCGTGTGCCGGATGAACGCGCGCCATCGACGACCCTCGCGTTATGCAAATGAATTTTTACGATGAGTTCTGTTCCGCTTGATAGACCTTGTGCCCCTAACAAGCGCGTTGCACGCTCGTATACATTTTGGCAATTTAATCCTTCGATTATGACAGACCTGTGGCACATAGTGTGGTCTAAAAGTCACTGGGGATGATATCGAACAGAAGATTCTTATTGAGAAATCAATGAAACGTGTGGAATGGGAATTTGTAATTTCTCGTGTAGCTTTTGAAAAGTTGAGAATTGTAAATATTAATTTCTATTTATGTAAATTTTTATTCTAACGTGTCATAAAACAATTGTAAGACAAATTTCTTCGTACGGCCCTGAGGTCTCAGATACTCGTATGTATATATCTACCAATTTCATTATCCCAATACATAAGATTCGATTGCTTTCACTACTAATCCATTTACATTCTCTTTGCTCTTTGTCCTTATATCATGACCCCTGTTATAAGTACTGTATAAAGATATACCCTGTGCAAAGTATACTCTGTCTATCCTGCTTGTCTTTACCTTTGATATTTCCGAAAACTTTACTTTCATTTCCTAGGCAACACACGTTGACGTAGTGGTAAGACAACTTAGTCAATATTCTATTTATTTAATGTTCGTATCTGACACTGGCCTTGTGTCTACGCCAATGTTCTATCACAAAAGTCTATTCATAGGTATAACACTTTTGGTCAACAATAAAAATTCAAGTATCCCTTTACATCACAACCAACCAAATAAGAACCAATGGGTCATCCTGTATATAAGGTATATTGCGTCTAATCTCATGATACAATGTCTTCCTAGAAGGGCAATGCTCCATCACTCTATCTCACACCATCTCAATATACTCATTCGTTTTCTCTCTCATTCTACCCTACATGATCCATTAATATACAGATATATTACTTTTACTCAGTAATACAAATTCTTGTATTCTATTCCTATGATTCTGTGAAAAAGGTAGTTCTACTATATTATAATCAATGAAACCAGTACTTGTTCTGCTAGTCATCTCAATTTCTGACAGTTTAGAAACCGGTGAGACACCCTATATGAGGTACTTGCGCCTAATCGCATGCAACAATGTCTGCCTAAACGGAACCGTCTCGCTATCGCTCCTGTGTGCCTAAACTGATTTCTAAAGCAACGTTAACGAGGGGAAACGTCGTGCAACAAAAATGACGGTCGTAGGATAAGGAAGTTCGTCGATACACGCGAACATACGCAACCTTGATAGGGCATTGCCCCAGCATCTCGTGAGACATACATGGACGTCGTGTATACGTGCTCGGTTTGGGATCTCCAGGAGCTAGGGAACTCTCGCTCGACGCGGCCTAGAAAGTGGAAAAATATCGTTTACAACGTGCCACACGCGTCGCGATAAACGTTCCACGGTTTGTTCATATCAAAATTTTCATCGACATTCACCTACCTGCTGTACGTGTAGTGGGACTCGTGTCGTTCTTACAGTCTGAGGACAATAAAGATCCGTGTAACGATACCGCAGCGTAGGAATTGCATAACGGTGTACGGTGTTACGTTGTTAATTGAAAGTTTTCCTTTTAGTCTTCTCAACGTGTCAGGCGATGGGCAAGAGTGGTTTCGGTGTTTGAATCGTGACGACTTTCGCGCGTTATCTAGTTCCGCGGGTCTTGCGCGCTGCGCATGCTCAGTTCGAATTTTCCTTTCGATCGGAGATCGAGAATTTATTATTATATTATCGTAGGATTATTTTGAGAGTCAAATTGTCTTGATTGGTGGCACTGAGGAAGAGAGTTACAATTTAGTTTGAGTTCAGACATCATTTCGAGTAATATACCTTACATTTCATCGATGTCAATTAATAATTAAAATTCAAAAAAAGTTTAGAAAGTTTTAATGAATTTCTTCTACTTTAATAAATAACAAAAATTTTCGGGGATTTTGGAAAACTTTTAAAAATATCCGGAAAAAATTTTAATTAAATCCGTATTTTTTGCTATCGTTTCGAACACGTACGCTTCATTCACACAACGTTATAAAAATGTACTTATCGCGACATTGATAACAAGTACAACAATCTTTTATCGATAGATAGTTTTCAAAACAATAAACGGAAAATCATTTTTTTTAGAAGAATTTTTGGATTCATTATCCTTATCTACTTCCTTCCTTAATTGTTATCTGTTTCGTTTGATATCTGGCTATTCAATCATGAGCCAATGTCGAAAGAAAAACAAGAAAGAAAGTTTAAAAATATTAGAAGGGAGATGGTTACCACGGAGATGGACAGCCAGGAAGCATTATGCCGATGAATGCCGCGTTGCTTTCTCTCAAAGACCTTTCTTCGACGCGTGAAAGCGACGACTGCCCTTAGGATTCCTTTCTCGTCGCTTTCGATTTCCATCATCGAGTTCTAACATCGATATGTTAGAAAAAATTGCATTTCTAATAAAAACCAAAGAAAATTTTTCTATTAGAGACGATTGAAAATAAATTTGAATACAGAATTGTTAAAAGTATAGGTTGTATTATAGTATTTTATAAATAATGTTAATTTTTTATTAGTTATTGTATCTAGAGTTAGACTTACACAGTTCATGGGTTACATATCTCATTCTTTTTTAATATAAAAATGTGAAAGATACACTTTGTCTTACACTGTCTTGCTTGAGGAGATGCAAAACGATTTTTTTTTATTTAATTCGAAATCGTTTTAACTATTTTCGAGTTAAATTTTGGTAATGATCTGTAGAAAAAAGAAGACACAATTTCATAGGTGAAGAAACATCGATTATCTTAAGCATAACGTAGAAAAATGGCTCCTGTGACTAATTAACGCCGAATTTTTCGAAAGCTTTCAACTTTTGTCTCGCAAGTTTTTCTTTTCCGTGTCCTTTCAACGACAAACGCGATAACGAAGTGTGTCGTTTTTGGCGGACCTCCTTGTATAATGGACCACAGAGAGGACAGAAGATTCGAAGCGTGCCGGTGCATTTCAATGCTTCTCTTCGTTTCTGTAGCCCTCGTAGCTGTTAAAAGATCGCCCATACGAGTGATTTGCCATTCAACAGAAGCTATTCAGTAACCAACCGGTTTTCTGATAACCTTTTACAAAGTATCAGAGCTTTTGAAAATTATTGTTTAGCATTGCTGTTTAACGTTATTCTTTGGGCCAATTTCCGTGCGCTGTCATTTCACTTTCCAGAAGCTCATTCTTAAAAAAAATTTACAAATTTTATTTCATTTATTTTTAATATCGTCTCGTATTATATATACCTACTGTTCACGGTGTAATACATTTCCAAAAATTCTTATAATTTTTACTCTCAGATTAAATACCAGTGACAATTTGATTTTGACAAGTTTTGGTTTTCAATATTTTTTTGACACGTTAATCCATGGATCCTTTCACTTCCACACTGTACACATGAAAGAGGAGAAAAGATTTTATTAGAAGATACCTGGATAATCTGGAGACAGAAAAGAGTAAGAAATAAATTCTAATTCGGCGAACAGTTAACCTCAATACGTTCCTAATCGGGGTATTCCAAAGAATCAATCCGCTCCTGAAAAGGAAATTCTCCCATAGATGGAAGCCCAATCGCTCCATGCAGGTGTTTCTTCGCGCCAATGAGGTGCCACAAAGACAAATCGCCTTGTCCATCGTTTAACCTCCTCTCGCGCCATTTTTTCTTCCCATTCCTACTCGATCGAATCGCGTGACTCACTTCGCACAGCGATTCAGTGTTCTAAACTATTCAACACCTTACTCAGCTCCTAATCGTTCGGATTTATGCGCAAAGAATATTCGATCAACCCTCACGTGGGGCAATCTAATCCTTATTAACCATCGGCTACGGTTTTCGGAACACATTGACGCATCTTCGTTCCAATTACAGAAATCGTTCTAGTTGTCCTTTCTATATGTTAATCTATGTCCCGTGGTTAAGATTCGAGATCCACTCTCAGTATGTGTTCACAGCTAACGCTAGTCGGAACGCAAGTGACCCATTCGTGTTCATGGCGCCTTAAAAGATTTCACGTTGCGAAAACAGAAGATGAGTAAGATTGTTCTGCGCAACTTTTTACGGTATTCGTCGCGAATATCGGGACGAGTTGCGTAACCCGAACGTTTAGAGATGACCTGGCGGAGCTACGAGAAAACAGTCTGGCCAGCTGCCTTCGACACGTCCACCAATCGTGCGTGATTAGACTTCGAAATGATCGAAGATGCGTCCTAGACATCGTTCGTGACTGGCGATGGGATCAAATTTGATATGTACTTATAAAACCCAATTAATTATTTAATTCTGTCATTAAAGGGATTCGAATGGCGCTTGTAAAGAATTGATGGTTCGTTCGTGACACGTGTGAGATATTCGATCTATACATATCGATTTCCAATCTCAACATGTATATCTGTGAGTAGGGATACGATTTGTTTCGGTATGTATATATTTAGAAATCTGAATTGTTTCCTGTTGCGTTTATTATTGATTAGTAATCGATTAATATTCCACAATCGTTTGTTCATCAGATGTTTACGACGAGGATTGTTTTGAGGTTATTTCGACTTTACTCCACCAGAGCGCATCAGCAGCAATCCGAGAGATTGCATCACCGAGTCATTAACATAACGAATGCAAAGAAGTTTAAAGGGGTTTCAATTAAATAGCAATCATCAATTTCCGGCAATTGTAACGAGATAAATCAACAGATGATCGTGCATATGAAATTTCTGTCGTTATGAGACGCACGAAGGATGCAGAATTATGTAACGGGACCATGTTATTGACTGCAATTATCGCATTACATTGCATAACCTTGCTACTCCGCTTTAAAGTAATCTTCGTGCTCGCACGCTCAGCTGATCATTCTAAATCGTTTTTACATGTAAAAAACGTAATTTCTTTTATCCCGGATGTGTATCGTTGTAGTTCTACACGCGATTAAGTCAGAATCTTTATATCGAACATAAGGGTGGTTTCAATGAAAGTCCTCGAATTCAATGCCCGCTGAATTTACTTAAGTTTCAAATTTCACGAAAAGACATAAGGTCAGGATTTTTCCTAATTATATAATGAATGTAATTTCATTATAAGATTAAAATTGAATACAACACGTATAATTTAACCCATACAGGAAATTATACAGGAAATCATTGCAACAAAATTTCTTCGTTCACATTTACTCGTTTGTACCACTAACTTAGGTACCCGATTATCGAATCAATTCTTCGAATCCCATTTCGAAGTACCTCGAACCCAGTCAACTTACCTTACCCAACAGCATCGAGAGGGATCCGGAGTAAAAAATGGGGAGGAAAGGACTCAGGGAAAAGAGAATCTTGGTGAGAAGGAATCTCAGTGAGATAAAGTCCACTGGTCCGCTATTGAAATTTCGTCGGCGCGCTACCGCCAGGGGGCAGGATGCTCCAAGTCATCCATGCGTGCCTGCAATTACCGGTTCTCGCGCTCGCGCCAGGATTTCGCGTACATTCGAACCGTTTCCGTGGTTTTTCACTCGTCGTACGGTATATTGCATTAAAATCAAAAACGTCACCGACGATCGCCGCATCCTCCCTGGCGAATGTTGCATAACGGAATTACGCCGGTCTGGGGTACGATTACCAGAAACAAGTAGAACGTCCGGAGACGTTTTTGCCCTGGTCGTCGCAGCGTATCCATAACCGGGGCATTTAATCTTTATTAGCCCGTTATTACAGCGGACCAGTCCACGTCCAAGAATCACATGGAACACCATAATTCTGTTATCTAATATTCCAGGCAACACCGCGGACGCGATATGCGTTAACGAGCTAGCTATACAGGGAACCGTTAGAAACTCCTAGGCACTTTTGCATGTTTTATTCCGTTTTTCTATCTTCCCGAACGCGGATGCCGATTTGGTGCTGTTACGTAATGGCTTCTGTCCAAGTAGGTAGGCTCAGCGGCATGAAAGAACATAGGAACAATGAAGAGGTTAGGATCTTCGTTAGAGGTTATGGATTTCTGAGTTGGTCAAATTTGGCTTTAAGATGATGATGATGATACCTACTCTTTTATGGGAGATTCTTTTTGATATTCTAGTACTCTTTCACTTAGGGGTCCTTTTATTCAGAATGTGTGTCTGGTTTAAGTTAGGGGTCTTTCGTTGAATTTGTTTCTTTTGTAATGTTCTCGTATGTTTCTTAGAGAGCTTCTCTTTTTAATCGCAATTATAAATATTTTTCGCCACAGTCCAGTCACTTTCCCCTTCTGTTCATATTTGGTATCCGTTGAGACTTTGGAGGAGCATTGTTGACATTGTGATGCAATATCGCATTAGTCTTATGGAATCTTTCATCTCGGATGATCCACTCATCAACACTAAACCTATCATGGTCAAATGACCGGTGAATGGAAAGGAACCAGAAGCTTTAAAAAATGAAATAACATTGAGAAAATGACTATACATATACGAAAATGATTATAAGAAAAATGGCGAAGATGAGTGATTAAGGTAGACACGTTGAACACGGAATTTTCAATGAAAGTTTGGTGATTTAGACCATAGTATATTTACTGTTAATCGACTTACTTTGTTATTAGACGCTTCTTCAACCACGGGATATAATAATTTATAAGATAGAATTTCGAAAACATAACCTAACCTTAATAACCGTGGTGTTCAATAGGCATAGGAATTGCACGATGTGTGTCAAGCGTTATTATTGAATACATGGTGGTAATGTCGAATTTCAGTATAATTGCGAGTAAATTGCGAAGAATAGGAGGCTTCGTCTTTCGCAAGGTAAAAGACGACCGACATAGCGGAATCGGTATCGACGCCGGTCTAACCTCGAGTATTAAGCGTTTCGTAACGACGAAAGGTCACTATGCTGATGCACCGTGAAGAGAGACGTCGACTGCCACTCGTTCTGCTATACATCCTTTCCCATAGCCTTTCTCTTTCACCACGAGCTATCCTCCCGCCGTCTACCGTACTTTCCCGTCGTCCTCCACGGTGTCGTCGTAGACCCTGTTCACATTTTGGCTTCTGCTACGTTCATCCGAGCTGAGCTGATATCTCTAAGTACCCTTTTTCTTTCAATCCTCTTTCGGTAAACCCGTAATCCTATTGTTTTAATCTCTTTTATCTCTTATCCAATTTTTGTTGCTTGCTATTATGCTGTTTATCGCGTTTCTTGTGTGGTGAGACTTTTTGTTGTACTTCCTGTGTCTGGGGTAAAGAGGTTATGTCACACTTTCTTTATCCTACTTCTTTCTACTTACAATTATCTTCTTTTGTCTTATGTTTGCTTTGTCGTACAGTTGTATTTGTATCTTTTTGTTGGAAAAATTGTTGCATTTTTTTATTTTGTTTCTTTCATTTCTTTTTTTTTCTTTTTGAGATCAATTATTCCTTTTTCTGTTCTAACTTTTCATGGACGAATCGTTTCATGTGTATTAATTGATCTGGAAAGTTTGATCAAAGATTTTTGAGAGTTTTAAGAAGTTTGGAAACATCTTTCTTGTTTCACGCGCATAGCTACTTAATTTCTTGAAATTTATTTCTCCTTCACTGACCTTCATATTTGACCTTGACGAAATAATGACCACTGGTCAAGGACCCGATGATGACCATCGATTATGGATGGCCAGAAGTCCGTCA